GGGAGGCACAAAGAGTTTTCTGACTCAAGCTGATCTGTATTCCATGCTCCAGTTACTTGGAGTAATTGCGATGTTTCAGCTCCACAAATTTTATCCAGACTGCTAGGTCTGTGATGCAAGTGTAGAATATACTTGGGACATGTTATCCAAGAGAACAGAAGAATCTAGCAAAATTCATGTTGGAACAAGTAAAGATTTGCGAATAGCTTGCTTCCAGCTGAGAATTAGCTCGACACTTGGAACTTTGCAAAATTAAAGAAAAGCAGGCATACACTACTAATTTTTGGCTGCCTTTTCATCAAATTAAATTTTCTTTTGGAAATATTTGCCTTCCATTTTATTTTAAAATAAACATGGTGTTACTTAAACTAAGTGAAAAGCTTAAAAACCTCCTCGCCCAATATTTAAATACTTAACCCTGATTAAATCGGGTCTGTACTCTCCATAGTTCTTCACAAAAGTTTTGTGTCCACTGATGAGCGGGGCCTGTTAGACTTTTTTATTCATTATGTTCTCAACCCTTCAGTGAGTGCTACACTCAAATATTTTTCCTCTTGCCATTTCGGATACAGTCCACAAAGTCCCAGTCCTAGCTTCTGCCTCCTCTTTTTCTTTGCCGGAGTTTCTCCCTGCACTGAACTTTGTGGCTTGTGATCTTCCCCAGGTAGATAACAGTTCGTGTTCCTGGGAATCTTTACTCCACTACAACTGCCCATTTCTGTACTTTGTACCCAACTGTTTTTTTCTAATTTGAGGGAAATTCATTCTTTCATGCCTTAGGTTGCTCATCCTGTTTCTTCTCTTACTGGAAGGCAAGCATATGTCTATGATCAGAAGCACACACAGCCACCAATGCTACTTGGACTAAACCCCATGCCCTTGAGGCAGTCCTGCTCTCACCAGCTAGGGAAAGTCTCCTACAATAATACTGTATTATTATATTGGATCACCTACCCTTGGACTTGAACTGGGATCTTCAAAGCAAACTATGGGATGTTAGAAACTGAAACCTCATACAATGGTGCCAAAGAGGTATGACTGTTATGGAATAAAGTAAATAAAATAGGGATCACACACAATGGCACTATAGCCACTATGAGAGAAAGAAACAAGCAGAACAAGCTAAGAGGCAGTGGGGGAAACATGCAAAACACTGAGCTCCACCAGAGCCACCACCCAGCTGTACCTGCCAAACTCCACCTCTTCCGCTCTACCTAGTGGCTTGAGACAGAATTACAAGACAAAATGAGAGACCTAAGGAAAAAATACTTAATTCTTCAAAATTCTGGATTTATTACACAGAAAGTATTTTAATTCTGGAAAAAATACGCAACGGCTCTGAAACAATTCCTGAGACAAAAAGCACCTACCAAATTTCAAGACTGTATAAAACTGGAGAAATTATGTTGAGTAGCAACTCTAACACCTGGATAAAACTTACAGTGCCACAATCGGAACCAAGAAAGACAATCTGTTCCCAGACTTAATAGATTTTTTTTTTTTTTTTTTTTTTTTGTGATTATCAGAGCCAAATACAACCCCAGAAACATGGAGCTCTGGAACCTGAACTCCTGTATGGGCTGTATTAGGTTTTATTCCCATTTCTGCATATTCACATACACTCAGGTCTCTAATGATATTCATATCAATAGTTCGACAATTAATAATTAACAAAACTAAATACATTTGTGCTTTCAAGATTTGAACATGAAAAATCTCCTTCATTAATATAATTAACCTCCTTCACCCCCACTGTGTATTTATATAAACACACACGTACATGAATATATATGCTCACACATGTACACATACAGGTGCATCCCCCCTTATTTTATTGCAATTAAATAAGAGCCTTCATTTTGCTGCTACATATGATCAAGAAGCAAACAACAAAGAAATGAAAGAGAAAGCACAGGCTGGCATTCATTCTGAAGGGCATTAGAAAAAAAAGAAAGAAAAAGTCACATTCCCACTGAATGCCCCTTTTAGATCTCCAGTCCAATCCCAAGTACTACTGTGTAGAATCAACTTCACAAAAATACTATTCAAAAAAGAAGATTTTGACTAGAAGTCCAAAATAATTCTGAGTAAGTTAATATCATCAGTTTTTATGTATACGTATGCATATGCACAGAGAGACTCCTTACCAGAAGTCACTAACATTTTAACAGGTATTACAACACTGCTTGAAGAGCACGCTTGATACTTTAGAAAATGACATAAAAACCTCATATCTGTAATATTCCATCAAACCAAATGACTGCTTACAATTTCTATGTTATAGTGATTCAACTGGATAAAGAAACAATACAGTTAATGCTTCTAAAACGATAGTCAATTTCCTTTAAGTTGCTTTTAGTCAGTAACAGTAAAAACACAGTACTAAACCTAGTATATTTTATAGAATAAAACAGAAAACAGTGGTAAAGTTTCTGACATTTCACCTAGAACAATCACCTAGGAGATTTTTTTCTTTCATTTTTGTTGATATGGTTCCCACCAAAAGCACATGAAAAACTGCAGAGAATACTAATTTTGTGATACAAGAATCTGACTTAAAATTAGCTGCTGGGTTTTCTGCAGAAAGCCTTTCAGAAGCAAAATTAATGCATATGTGTTCAGTTTATGAAGTGCACAGAGTTTGTGGCAAGAAATAATCTGCTGCAGACAGTAAGAATTTATGTTCCAAATCAAACCACTCCAGACTGTTCCTTTTTCCCCTCTCTGAAACACTGCTGAATAGCACAGCTGTTGCAAACATGATAATCAAATCCAAGAATTCAGCAAACACCTATTTCTCTGCCATATTTTTGCTGGTATTAAAAACACATATAATGCTCTTGGAACCTCTGCTAAAACTATACCACAAAAGCAGCCAATAAATCATCACCGTTCCTAAAAGTCTTAAACCGCAATCTTTCACATTCTGAAAAATTCCAGTTCAATATTAATCCAGTATTCACTGCAGTGTAGTTGTTTCATTATTATTACTACCATTACTCAAACCCCACAGCAATTTTTACATTAAGGTTTAGGAGGGATGACTTTACACAATAAAACATCTCAATAAACAAGGAGACAGTTCTGAGAATTTTCCTTTTCTTCCTGCCTTCAATCAGTTTGTTATTCTCTGCAGAAAAGTCTTTTTTCCCCTACCTTTAAAAACTTTCTGGCATTTTGAGAGGAAAAGGTTCAGAACTGCTTAAAGCCACCTTCTGATATCTTCATGGCAGCTGTTTCAAACAGCATTTTTAGTCAAGTGACTTGCTACCTACAGCAATGGTGTTCAACAAAAATGAAGGGCTTAGAATAATAAAATAAGAGTAATTAAAAAAACTCCAGTATTCACTTCTGTTGACTCATGCCCGGTAACACAACAGTATTAAACAGAAAGCCGTTTATCACAACTTACCTCCCCTTGTGCTCTTACAAACAAAAAAATACAATTGCTCTGAACCTACTTCCACATCCAAATTACTTAACTGCTCTATGATACTTATATTGACTCCACCAGGATTTGATAATCAAGCTGGCTTTACAGAACAGAAGCTCAATTTTTCTTAGAACAACCCATGAAGTAATGCACATGATCACTTTGCTATCACTTGCCATCTTCCATCTATAGATTAAATCCCAGAGCTCTGTATGGAAAGAGCATAAAGGCAGAACCAAACAAAAAAATCTAAGCCTAAGAGTATTAAAACCCCATAGACATGGATCACCTGAATATTTTACCATTTACAGAAAGTGGTACTAGAATTAGACCACTTGAAAGAAAGCAAACACTACGGGGTTTCATCAGGAGGTGTTAAACATATTTTGTCTTGTTTAATTTTAATTCATCATTGCTTCTTAAAAAAAATGACTTCTGCCTAAATTGCAATGTGAATTTGCAGCTTGATTTTTCAAAGTGGTATTGGAACATAGTCACATGCCTTACTACTGTAAGTGATCGTTCATAGTATTTGGTAGCTAGAACATTTTTTTTCCATTTATACTATTATGAGTAAAGCTCAAAAATATGCCACATAGTGTTGCTGTTCAAACAAAATCTGAGTTCTTGTAAGAAGCTAAAACTATAAAAAACAAATCAATTGCGCTCCTCTTTGTTTAAGGAGTGTTAAGAATATTCAAAATATCTTTACTGTGGTACATCACAACGAGACAAAGGGGGAAGTGAAGCAAAAAGAACCAATATCCTGCTAGAATTTGTCCTACATCTAACCTTCAAGAGAACGTCATGGTTCTGTCCTGCACCACAAGCGAACATATATAGCCCCGCAGTAACAGCTGCTGCAGCATGTGCTTATCAGGAGAATGCATAGGAAGTCTGAGAAAGCAGACTTCAATCAAATTCTATCCTCAACACTCTTCCCTCAAGGTGATACAGGGCATCTTCTACGCAAATTCAAGGTCTGTCCCAAAGCTGAGCAACTGACATCGCGTTAACTCAGCATCCTGCTTCTTACACATAGGAAATACTGATTTTGTGAACTTGAAAAGCTCACGCTCCTTTCATAGCACTCAAAAGTAAAGCTAAGGGTATATCATTATAAAATTAAATACATACAAACACACAGGCTTTTATAGGGCTAAGTTACAATTCCCCAACTGTCTAAAGCCTACCAGTAATCATGTCAATTATGCCATAATTTAACCAACTTGTTTTGATCTTGACATTTTTGAAACAAAGATGACAATCAGTACAGTTTGTTTTACATATTCAGAGTCCAGCATGTGTTCTTTCAATGAGCAAATTCCCTCAAATAGTTGATAACACACTGCCAAATGTGACAAGCTGGTCCTGATCACATGGAACAGTTTTGTGCTGTGAAGTTTTATTTGGTCTTTTTTTTAAAAAAATATACTACTACTATTTTTTCTTAAACAAGCTCTGGCATACGAAATGCATGTACAAAGAGACAACACAGCTTTACAACGCAAGTGTATTTATGCACTTTTTATTTTATCAGACTCAAAAGACTGCAAAGTAAATGTACCTGTGTTCCGTTAGAACATTTACTGCTGATGGATGGTTGGCACAGTATGCAAGGTATAAGCTTTTCATCTGTGACATCAGATTTAGAAAACATCCTCCAACCCTCTGCTGAGCTTCAGGCAACCTAAAAACAGAGTAATAAAGATGAAATTACTGTAATACCAACCACAGAAATAAATTACTGGAAAAACAGTATGTACTGGAGTTTTTTGTTTGGTTTGTTTTTTAATAAAATCAGATAGATTTCTACGGTCACTGATCAGCAACCAATGGCTTTTGCTTCCTTTACAACCTCAACTTTGTAACTGTCAGGCCTGACTATGTCACCACAACATCAGCAGAATATGGTACATACAATTCAGCAAAGTTTTTTCAAGAATTAGTGGTAATTAGCACCTTCTTTAGGAGTTTGATTTTCAGTCAACACACTTATCAGTTTACTATCTACTTACATATGCCATGCCAAATCTTAGCAGCAATACTGCAGCTCTTAAGACAAAAACTGGATTGAGTAGCAGCAAGATTCTCTCCCTCTACCCTCCACCAGCAGAGATCATAGGCTTAAAATACTCATTGAAAGACCAAAGTACCACATTAAGCTCTGACAGCACAAACAGAAGCCAGTTACAGTGCAGCAACAGGCCGTTTTTACACAATTGCCACTCATCTTGCTTTCTAAGAACCATTAAGCACTGTTATATCAGTTTGTTACCAAGGCAAGAGTGCTGCTTTACCACCATCAGTACAGGAATCTTTTCTATAACTCATGCTTTCTTCATCTTTTATGCTCAAATGCACCACATTTGCTAAGCAGTGAAAAAAAATTTCACAATTCTGTTCAGAAGAGCTTATTTTGTCTAACATAAAATGATGCTTAAGCAACAGCAGCCTCAGTGACTTCAAGATGGCACAGCAAGAGGAACAGTATTTAGAAGAAAAGCTTACTTTCACAGAGTCTTGGTGAACCTGACAAGTTTTGATCGGCTTTGTCAGAGGAATATAGACATTTATTCACATAAATGGGGGGACAACATGATATGAAGAAGATAGTACAAATACATACAGGGTATTTTTCAAAAGGTTTTAGCAGAAACTGTCACCTCAAGTTGAAAGAAGAACATATCTGGAGTATAAGTATCTGAAACTGGCTGTGTGGCATCAGTTTAGAACTGGTACAATCAGCAGAAAGTACAAGTCTGACTTGTGATTTTGCATCTAATGGGATCCTGGGGTGCATTAGGAGGAGTGTGGCCAGCAGGTAGAGGGAGGTTCTCATCCCCCTCTACACTGCCCTAGTGAGGCCCCATCTGGAGTACTGTGTCCAGTTATGGGCTCCCCACTTCAAGAAAGATGAAGAGCTACTGGAGAGAGTCCAGCGGAGGGCTATGAGGATGGTGAGGGGACTGGAGCATCTCTCCTACGAGGAGAGGCTGAGGGAGCTAGGCTTGTTCAGCCTGAAGAAGAGAAGGCTGCGAGGGGACCTAATAAATGCCTATAAATATCTCAAGGGTGGGTGTCAGGAGGATGGGGCCAGACTCTTTTCAGTAGTGCCCAGCGACAGGACAAGGGGCAATGGGCACAAACTGAAGCATAGGAAGTTCCGTCTGAACATGAGGAAGAACTTCTTCCCTCTGAGGGTGACGGAGCACTGGAACAGGCTGCCCAGGGAGGTTGTGGAGTCTCCTTCTCTGGAGATATTCAAGACCCATCTGGACAAGGTCCTGTGCAGCCTGCTGTAGGTGACCCTGCTTCGGCAGGAGGGTTGGACGAGATGACCCACAGAGGTCCCTTCCAACCCCTACCATCCTGTGATTCTGTGATCCGTGTAAGCGGCTGGGGGAGAAAACTGCAACCCTTCCAGTCTTATACTTAAGTATCTCTTTAAGCTGCATACTTCATATGCAAACAAAAGCACAGTCTCCCTCTTTTTTAAATCTAAAATAATTTTCAAGTTAAACACAAACCAACTGGAAGAAGCATATACTCCAACCAGCCATGCTTTGTTACTGCTACTACTGCCATACTCAGAACCAAAAATATCCACACTAGATTGCTTCCTATGTGAGAAAGAATAAATTGGACTAACAAGTGAATGACATGTAAGGGTGCTGAAGAGATGAAACTCTATTATTTTCTACAGAGCAACTCCCACTTGAAGGACTAAACCTCCTCAGCAGTAGGTTATAAGGCCAACAGCCAACTGTATAATCCACACTGAAGTTAACCAGAAGACAGGACACTAAGTTTTCAGCAGTCCTAGACTACAAGCTTGTCCCTGACACTTTGTCTAAACCTACTGTACAACATGTGCAAGACGAAATGTTTCAATTTCTCCATACATCATCTCTCCTTGCATAAAGGCTGCATCTCCTAACATAAATATACCACTCTTTGCTTCTTTGCAAGATGAGACCAACAGTGGATTTTTGTTGTGGTTATCCATTTAACTCCTCTTAAAAACAGTATTTCACACTGCTCTAAAGTCAGATGAGTCCTCAGTAAGTACTCAGCAGACATACTGTTAAGGTTTCATGGCAACATTAGTTCCAACAATTCTCTCTAGAAGAATGTTGTTTTTCTAAAACAAATATATATTTTTAAGTTGAGATTTTCTGTAGTTGTCCTGAACTTGTGCATAAAGTTTCTAAACATCAATATTTAGTATATTCCCTCTGAAAAAGTATGAAATGCTCCAGTGAACTTCAGTAGAAGAGCGCTGTTCAGCTTTCCAGGATGGCTGCTCCTAGAGGCAGGGGCTGTTCCCATCCTGCTCAAACACACAGTCATCTTGTCCCACTCCTCCAGTTTGCTCCTAGTAGTTAGAATTCGAAGTTCATCCTAAGAAATATTCCCCCAAATTTCAAAACAGTAAGTCTGGCTCCTACTAAGCTCTTCAGTCCCTCTATACGGTGTGGGAAGACCAACCCAATAGGAAGTCAAAATTGACTGTACTTGTGTTCAAAACATGAGGCAGGGGAAACACAATTCATTATTTGAAAGTAACGTTCATTATAAACACCCAGATACACTTTGATCACATTATCAGCGCTCCGTACAGTAAAGGCTAGGACCCATATTTTATTGTCTGCGTCTCTACTTCTCTTTCAAGAAAAGTTCAAATTCTGAATTTAATAGAGCATCTGCTTTTGCAGGTATTTAGGGGAAACCCAGGGGCATTCCCCAGCGTACTGCAGGAACGCTGTTCTCACAGCCTTCCAAGTAGGCATGTCCTCCCTAGCAGCTGGTCCCCTTTAATAAATCTAAGCATGAGCTAGTAACACATTCTTCAAGTAATAGATGCAGCAAAAGTCTCAAACTCCAGAGACATACTCAAGGCACATAACTCAGTATTAAATGGTAAGAGCCCCCAATAAACAGTTGCTGAAAATGGTCAATTTGCCTTTTCATACTGTAGTGCTGGGCGGGAGTAGCCATGCATTATGGCTGCTCCCACCAAGGAGACATCTGTGTCTTCTCAGTCTGCTTTCTTTTAGCAGAATGAAAGACTGACATGATTCTTTTACACACGCATTGCAACTTTATACTGCACGCTCTTCGTTGAATTAAGATAATTAACAGACTTCATGAGGGAGTGGCAACTCATCCCCTTTGACTTTTCTAATCCATGCATTAGTTGCAAGTGTTCTACTATTTTTAGAGGAGCAATTAATAAATTATCTGTATCTCCTTCAACTGCTGAAAAACAATTTAATGCCTATCACCACATCATATAAACCTTGTAGTAATTAATGTGTTCAGTAAAGAGCATAATGCTTTTACAACTTATTCTGAAGTTGCCATCCCAATGTTCTCATATTCGATCCTTTAATTAGAAAAGAATCACATAAATATTGTATGTATACACACATATATAAATGACAACTTCAGTTATAAAAAGGCCAAAGACTTGTTTTAATTTCATTTACAGAAATGGAGAACCATAACAAAGCCTCTGCTGCTGTACACATGCTAGAGACAACATCACTGTACAACTACATCTAAACTACCTAGCAGATTATCCATTTGTTGGAGTTGTATCTGATAGCTACCAGTTCTATCTCTCCACAGTTAAAACAGGTTCCCATTGCATGATAATTTGAGAAGGAAGAAAATACTCTGTTCCTCAGTCATGCTTATTTTAAGATTCTGATCGAGACCAGCAATCAGAACTGGACTAAAGCTAGACTGGCAGCCAACAGAGAAAGAGTGACATTACAGAATACTGTGCCCACTGTGTTCTGAAGAAATCTGCCTTAGTTTTGGCATCAGTGGATGTTACAACGTTTTAGGAAAGGCTGTGGAAACTGCAATGAATCTAGACAATTTTAAACACTGACTAACAGAGGCAAATTTAAAAGAAAAGTAGGTAACAAAATGTAATCCGCATTCTGCATCTTCTTTTTGCAAGGAAAAGATCAGGTGTCCCGAAATTCCACTTGACTGTGTGGTTACCATAATAGTGTCATGCAGCAACCGTGTTCCTGTTTACATATACACACACATACATATACACACACATGTACATCCACACACACCTGCAGAAGCTGCCACAAACTGGAAACTTTCAGTTATCTAGGTGGAATTTTCTGCTCTTCCTAAACAGATCCCACAGGAGGATAAATTGCAGAATTTCCTGCCCCTCTCTCAGCCTCTTTGAGGGAGCTGGAGCACCAAGGGTAAGTTTGCTATGCTTGCAGAAGGTCAGTACAGAGAATGTCTTGAACATAGCAGACAAGACCCAGAACAAGTGAAGGTCTGCAAAAATTACTAAGGGATAATTGCGATTAATGACTCCACAGGATGCAGTTTGTCAAGAAACACAAGTTATCTCCCGAGGCTTCACAGTTAACAAACAGGGTTACTGAAGTCAGGGGGACACATGACAACATTCTGAGCTATTGTTTACACACATGGAGGCACTGTTCAACTTATTCACAATCCATCAGTCTAACCTGCAATGTTCTCTTCACAACCGTACCTTTCACCATTTGTCTATTCACCTTACCGCTCAGGCATCAGTTAATTTGCATGTTTGTCTCAGGCAATCTGAAGACACTGTGTTCAAGTTCACCTAACATCGATAACCTTATTTCTGTCGATATTCACAGTAACCAAAAGCAAGGGAAGGTAGTGGGATCAACCTTGAACAGACCTAATATATACCTGCACTCCAAAACCAAGTCTGAAACACCGACTAGTCTTGGATTGCATTTAACCAATCCCTTTCTCATACCCTGGTCTCTCCTCCCTTCTGTTTAATTCTCATTCCACTCCAGGATCATCCTAGAACATGAAATATCTGCTTCCACTCAAACACAGAACAAGGTAAAGAAAAACAACACAGTTACTGTGACTGCAGGAGTGGGGAGAGGAGGGAAACAGAGGGCAAAACCCAGCTATGGCTGTTATGGGACAGGGAGAGAAGTCTGTGATACTACCTAAAAGGCAGCCAATGCCTTCTTCAATTTGCTACAGAGGAGGTTATTCCTAAGCAGTCCATGAAGTCTGGTGCCACCAGCCAGTCTGTATTGTCGTGTGTCCCCTGCTTATTCAGTAGTACAGCCATAGACTGTCAACTTCTATTCCCAGGTGAATGGAAGAATTTTTTTGGAGCAGGAGACCTCTGTTAAGTCACATGCCACAAAAATACTCAAAAGACCAACACTTTAAAGCAGAGATCATTTTGATCAGGCCAGAGATCACCTGACAGACACTGTGTTCGTTCAGAGACTCCTCTGCTGTGTGAATTGCTGCAGAGCTGAGCTTTGGCACTGGATCACAGATCTGGAAACAGACCTCGAGCTGCACTGGACCACAGAATCACAGAATAGTAGGGGTTGGAAGGGACTTCTGTGGGTCATCTAGTCCAACCCTCCTGCCGAAGCAGGGTCACCTACAGCAGGCTGCACAGGACCTTGTCCAGGCGGGTCTTGAATATCTCTAGAGAAGGAGACTCCACAACCTCCCTGGGCAGCCTGTTCCAGTGCTCCGTCACCCTCAGAGGGAAGAAGTTCTTCCTCATGTTCAGACCACCTTCTGTCTTCAAGAGACCAGAGCACAGATCACTCTTGCTCTGTTTTTCTGTCAGAAATCCACCCTTTTGCAACTGAAGACTCTGGCAGCATCTCTCTGCCCAGTCAGTTACAGCTTTTTTCCATCCATCAAAACAAAGTGCACTTGAAGCTGATCAGTCAAAGCAAAGCACTTTTGAAGCAGATCAGCCAGAAGATTCTCACTCAATACTAGTTAAGACTTGTTTTGTATATCACTTTTTTTTGGTAAATCAAGAAGGAAAGTCGCTTCTCCCAAGTAAATAGCCATAGGACAAGAGGCAATGGGCTCAAGTTGTGTCAGTGGAGGTTTAGACTGGGTATTAGGGAAAAAATTCTTTACTGAAAGAGTTGTCAGGCATTGAAACAGGCTGCCCAGGGAAGTGGTGTTCCCACTGGAGGTGTTCAAAAAACATGTAGACATGTAGATGTGGCACTTCAGGACATGGATTAGCAGACACGGTGGTGATGGGTTGATGGTTGAACTTGATGATTTTAGAGGTCTTTTCCAACCTTAATGACTCTATGAAAGGTAGAAGTAAACCCAAACAAATCTGTCCAATGGTGCCCAGCATCCAGGCACGCAGAGAAGCAGTATTCCAAGGCCTGTGACAGACGAAGCAGCCTACAGGAGCACCCCAGTGAAACTGCAACAGAGACCAATCTGGACAAGTTCAAAGATGACAAACCTTTAGCAACACACCAGAAGAGCTTTAAGGGTGGGGGCAGAGGGGGTGGGTGGCACACAATCAGAACCAAACCACGTCCAAACAACTCCTTCCCCTGAAACCTGCAAAAAGCCCACTACAGCATTATGTGTTCTGAAAGAAAAACCCACAAAAACCCCAATGTTTAACAACACAAGGATTAAATAAGCCGAAGTGGTGGAGGCAAAAACAAAAGCACCACAAAGTTTCTGTCACTGAAGTACACGCCAGGATTTATTAAGAGAAAACTCAAATGACACCCTGACTTGAGTGGGGTGTGGAATTCAAAAAACATTCAACTCTCATGCCCACAAACAGGAATTTGTCAAGCAACGTAGGTTGGCAGCACTACAACTGCCAGGACATCGGCATTTGGTCATTCTGACACGTCAAGTCATAAAAAAACACCGCACCGGATGCTGCACTATGAAGTGCCTGAATGACAGAACTATAAGCTCTCTGCCAAAAATAAAATAAAAAGACAAATCTATTTTCAGCCCAGGCGGTAGCTACTCTGAGTTTACAGAACAGGTTCACCAGCCAAAAAAACATGGCAAAACGACAAAAAACAAAGCAGCAGGGCAAGCATTCTTCTACATGATGGGAATTATGATGGATTAGATTCAAAACAGGAGGAAGCTGGACGCTCAAGTCAATATGCTATGATGAAAATTAAACTGAAAATGCAACTTGGCATGACTAGCATATTTATGAAACAAAAATAACACAAAACATTTGCAGTAACCATTCAGTAACCCAGGGGCATCACTTCCTCTGCCCACCTACTAGCATCCATTATGTTACTAATTTATTACACGGCAACATTTCACTTCACAGGAAGAAGAAATAAAGGACATTAAGAGAAGGTGCTCTAATAGAGTTTAGATCAAGGAAGGAGTTCTAAATAGGCTTTCTGAGCTTGACGCTACATTATGATATCACATTAACCTACATGCTAAGCTAAAACTAAGCTTGCATTAGTTTTTGTTTAAAGGCTTGAAGAAAGGCTGTTTCAAGAATGTTTCCATTCCACTGCTGGACAGTCATCTGAACTACACCATCCTCCTCTCCGTTCTCTCCAGCCTAAGTCATCTAGAGGTAGAAGAGAAGGAAAGAAGCCAGGCAGTAGGAGGACGTGGGATCCAAGGGCAGCAACAGACCCACACCCCCGTTACTGCCTAGTGAAGGTGCAGCTTATACTTGGTCATGACAAAGCTTCCACTTCACATGGAGCAGCTCAGAGCAAAAGAAGAGGGAGAGGTCTAAACACGACACTGAGTTGATCTAAAGATCACTGCCGCCAAAAAAGACATTTTCTCCTCCACCCAGGACATTCATTCCTTCTCACAGCCAAGTATTCCCAGCAGACTGAAACTTGTCTAAGCCCTCAGCAGCAATTCAAATTACTAACTTGGCAGAAACCAAGCAAATTTGGATTAGCATGTTGCCTCAGCTCACCGTGCGGTCAGACAAAACCAGAACATGGGCAAGGAAAAGGACACAACTGAGGTTAGGAACAGGAACTACACTTCCAGAGGAGTTTCAACACTAGAAAATTGTTAGGACAATTCCAATGTCACCTTCTTTCTTACACCCCCAAGTGATGAAAAATATCCAGCCACCACTTCAGCCTAACCTATGCAAGTAGGACAGGCATCTCCATCCCTTTCTTTCTGTGCTTCATGCTTCCTGTATGGCACAGTACAGGCCTTGAAGCTAATCACCTTTTTTTTTAAATTCAGATCATTCTTTTTGCCTCTCGGCACATTTTGACGACCACCATTGTTCAGGACAGAAGAATACCAAGTGCAAGCGTTCTCATATAGTGTCCTTCATCCAAGTCCCTTACCCCCTCCTCCACTGTTCCGTCACAACATAAGCTCCCTTCATTCTTTCTCTTACTTTATAAAAAGACTTAACTTTCGTGCCTCCAAAACAAAAAACACCACTTCCTCTACCACTTCAGTATGCAACTGCATCATGGAAAATCATAAATTGTCTTCAAACTACATCAAAATTCCTACCTCTGCAATTGCACCCTAGGGCCAATATCTATCTGCGCAAGCAATCAATGCATAATCCAAACTTCTATTACTGTACTGCTGTAACAACTATCCTTAAAGTGAGAGGAACAAAAATTCTGTCAAACAGCACAGATGACAAATGAAATAATAAAAAAATTTGTTTGTTAGAATTTTATAGTATCTGGTATGCATAATACTTACTTGGTGCATTCTTCTAAAGACTGTACAAGCATTTGCTGGAAAGAACTTATTTCTTCCAGGTTTCCCATTAAGTATGAAGTATTTGCCGAGTTTAACCTGGAGCCAGAGTAAATAAAAGGTGTTTAGGTTTGCAGTTATTGACTAACTGTGCTCTAATAAAACCTACAACCTTAAAAAAAATTGCTTACTGGTCTTTAGATCAAGGACCAGACTGCTTTAGTCAGCCAACAAACTAAATAAAAGCAAGCCTTACCTCAGGAATTTCACAGTCCACACAAGAAAATGCACACTGACATTGAAATTTTGCCTATGTAATCCCTCCCAATACACAAGAGATCTCAAGCTTAATTTAAAGAAATAAAACAAACTCACATACTTTTCACTGGCTTGTAATGGTCGCAGGTAGTTTGAAAGCATTGTTTGTAGTTCCTTAGCATATTCGTTTTCTGTTTCTAATATATTCTGTAGCACCTATGATAAATGACAGTTGCTAATTGGTATATTTAAAGAGACACTTCAAAATGTTCAAATCAGTACCAGTTTTAAAGCGTGCTAAAATTTACTTAGCACTAGGAAAACTTAAATGAGTGTTCCTATATTAAAAATTCAAGTATCAGCAAGAAAGTATTGAATACTACACATCTAAAATTCACACAAAAAACCACCACACACACACGATGAGCCATCCTTTAGTCATATGCAAAAAAAGTGGTAAGCTAACAGGGATTTTGCTACACTTGTAACTTTTACCATGAAACTTGAGCTATACAGTGTTCTCTCAGAGCTAGGGGTAATTACTCCTCCTGTGTACTTCAGAACACTCAAAGATCATCAGAGGCTGGTAAATCACAATAGAAGTTGTGAGAGAAATAAATAATTAGGGTCACTTTCTCAGTCTCAATTACAACATATTATAACTAACCTTGCTAGCAAAGTGTTTACTTACTCAGATGCACTGTTCTATCCAGAAGGTCTGAATACTAGCAGATTTATAAATATCAAGTAATTGCCAACTTTACTTAGTGATATAATTAACTTTATTGCATTTTTTTTAAATGAGGCTGCCTAACCTTCCACTGGGAGTGCAATAATATACACTACCATAAGAAAATTACAACAGATTCTGATGTAAAGCCAAAAATTTATAAAATACAACACACACTTGCTTTTCTGGCTGAATATAAATCAAACAACCGGAATACCCCAAAATTCGTACAAGAAAACATTTCACTGGGCCATCTCCCAGGAGCCTGCTTTAGGATATCCTCCAATATATTCACATCAAGTTCTACCATGCCTCTAGCTGGTAAATTAATTTTGGCCTCCAACAAGTTAATGAGAATCATCAGAATTAAATGTAGTTCAATGAACACAGCTGAGCTTTGAAAACTTTTTGCTATTCACTAGTCGTGAACCACGCCACAAACGTTCTCATTTTGCTACATGCCATATTTGTCAAGCCTACAGTAATATCTCATTTCAGCATTTATAGTAACAACTGTAATTGAGTGCATTATTCACTGTTGTAGTCAATACTCTTCCTTAGGAAATAAAAAAAGCCATTCATTCCTAAATGCAAACCTGATGAAATAACTTTAAATAGTTCAGTATGTCAATGAAGAATTCACTGTTGCTTTCATTGCTGTCATTGATTCTGCTTATTCCTTGAATGCTTCTATTCATTTGGAGAGAGGGAGAGAGACCACTTTTGAGTTCATTCTTTTGTTGGAAATCTGAATCCTGAACCGAAGATTAAAATGTCTCCATTCACTACTAAACACTATGACAGAAGAATGTCACAGAGAACGTTATGGCTACTAACTAGGAAACTACAGCAGAAAGTACAACACGGGCACACAAATTTTAAAAAAGCTAAGGTTTTTTTGACCACTTAGCTCAGGGGAAGGAAAAAAAAATTTCCATTGATCATAGCACTAATTAACCCCCATATTCTCTTACACGTATATAAAACAAAGTCAGTCAATTGTTAAAATGGAAATATAAAGGTACCTAGGATCCACGAGGTTCAAAACTAAATGCAAGACCAGTCTTTTCCAATATAGCATTTCCTACAAGAATCTCCCAGACCAAAGTCATTACACAGCCATTAGCATGGAAAAGGAGAATGAAAGCCAAGGACAAAAAGCACAGTGTCCTGGTGAAGCACTGAACAGGATTAAAAGACATTCAAAGATAAAAATCAACTAATTCGCTAGAGATCCTGAGAAGCTGCACCACTGTTCTACTTTCTTGAAGAGCATTTCCTTTCTTTGTTATAAACAGCTGTCTGAAAATCTTGAAATAGAACTAGTTTCACCTTGGACATAACTCCACTACTTTCCTGTGCTGGTTTGGATATGGAGGCATACAGAATTAGCAACATAACTGATAAATCACTGGGAAAAGGAAAATAAATGCAACTGTACATAAAACCATGCTACAAAACCTATGCAGAGTACTAGAAACACATATACTGCTTTATGCTATTCTAGTAGTTCAGTGTCATACAATACTTTAGATATACAGTTTTCAACACCTCCTAAAACACATTAAATCTTTTTTTTTTTCCAAGTAGTTTCCGTTGCACACAACGTTCTTTGAAAAAGAATAATCTTGCTTACATAGCTCTAAAACATCATTTCTGTGAAATCTCACATCCTTCCAGCTTGACTTACCCACCTCACCGAGAAGCTATGAGGATTAAACGCTTGGACTGCACTTTGAAGCAGTAAGTAGTCAGTACTGCAACTGAGGATTTTGGCACCAGAGCTCCCTTACATTCCTCACATCCACATTTTGCCCGCGTGCTCTGATAATCACCTTTCTTCCCTTTCCTGCTTTCTGCGCGTTCTGGCTGCTGCAAGACCCCATGAGACCTCGAAGACCTTGTTTCCACAACTCCACCACAACATTTGCACAGATAAGACCGGGTACCAAAAGAGCAGCATTGAAGTGGCAGCTTTTGCAGTCCGTAACACTGATGAATGGCAGGCACAGACAACTGAGCTCATACAGCACAAGCTCTCTCAAATCACACGGCATGGAAAATGCAATCATGGTTAACAATTCTGTCACACAAAACTCCAGCCATCTCCCTAAGGCAAAAACTACCACCCAAAAATGGATTTTAAATGACCTACATGAAGCTGATCGCCTTCCAAATCAGAGGGAGAAAAGGCAGATTTCACAGCTATGCTTGGGCATGATCCTGTAGCACATTCTCATTTTATGGGAGTAGTATGGCTTTCAACTGAAATACCACGTCCTTCAGCACAATGGTGATCAATGTCTAATTTTCCTGGATCATGAGAATCTGAGATATGAACCCCATAAACAGGCTCTTGAGAGGGGCAATGTAAAGCACCACACAAGTACAGCATATCTCCAGGGTCCTGAAAAACTTCTACGAACTTCAGCAAATGCAAATGCTTGACCCAACTTCAAAAGTGTGGCCTCAAAAGGAGTGCTTATTTTCCATCACTTCTGAAACACTTGAATGAAAAATGAGGTCATCCAAATACTCATACTAGGGAGAAAGCTGCCCATTTCTTTACCTGCTTTTAGAACAGCTACTTAATCTCAAGGCAATTTTCCTGTAAGCAGAGATAAGCCAATTTTATTTTGGACACAAAGTTTTAAATTCTCAAGAGATTAACAAGTAAAAATAAAACTCACGAGTAATGCCTGCCCTGTCTTCAGTGAATAATCTGCAATAATATGCCTACTTGTTCCGTAAAAGGTTACTAAATTACTTCTATGTGAGAAATGCTTCATGCTTGATCACGAGTCTGGTACATATTACACACCGCTGCTGACTTGTACCAATTTATGGAGGACAAGACCTTGTAGCACCAGTCGTTCTCTACGAACCTGCATTCCCGAGCCAGAAAAAACACAAGCATAAACCAAATGTGCTTTGTCTTCTCAGCAACACCTAGTGCAAGGTGCAGCCAATAAAGCACACTGAGACTAGAAGGTACTTGATTTCTGTTATGAACTTCAGATGGAGCTCTGTGAATCCATAAAAACAACGAACACCTTTACAGGGGGGCGAAGAACAGAGCAAAGCAGTGAAAGCAGACTCCTCTTCACATCAAGCACCTTTCCCTTAGCCTATCCCAGCCCTTCTCCCTGAAGGGGAGATCAGCAGAGCCTCTCCTACCACTTTCTGAACTGCCCTTTGATTTTGTCCTCAGTCCAGTGAACGTACCCACAGGTGTTGCCTGCACCTGCACAAATCCTTCCCTAGGAAAGGCAGCGATAAATAATCATGAGGTTTACGGGGTCCCAGAATGCACCCGTATGGTGGAAGATAGCCACAACTTACAAATAGCAAGCAGGCCCAGAGGAGCAGCCTCAAAATCACTTGGTTGTCACGTGAACCTTTAACACAGGCAGATTTTAATGCCTAGTCTTTAACTCTGGCTATATCCTTTAAGCCACCAGCTGCCCAAGGTTTATTTGGAGGTGTTCTGTTTTTACCTTAGTATGTACTCAATTTTGTTATCTGTGCGGAGTGATGATAAGACTTCTAGCACAGGGAAGACCTGTGTCTGCAGCTTATGTATTAAGACACAATAAAAACAACTCACAGGTTAAATTGTTTTCAGTTCAGTGAACAGGTTTGCTTTTGTTTGTTTGTCTTATCTACACGGCAAAATATTTACATATTTAATAATTATTAAAAATAACTATTTTAGTTATATTGCCATCAGAAGCACTTAGTATTTTTAAAGAAAATCTAGATGCCAGCTAGTCTAATTTCGGTTTTAAGCAGACCAGTAAAGTCTCACTTCTCTGAAACAAAGTGCATGCTACAGCACAACCTCTCATTCTTTAAACAAAAAGAATAAAATGGTGAGCTTAAAAAAAAAAAAAAAAAGCAGCTGCTTTTGCCACCCTGTGGAAAAACATGAAAACAAAACAATTGTCCAATTCACTGCAGACACAATTGGGAACAGCCCTCTAGGGCCAATGCTTCGATTTACTACATATATTACTATAAGCCCCCCCTGAATTTCATCTATCATCAACAGTTAATAAATAGCTAGCAGTCGAAACAGTAGGAATCTTATTGCATCAGTTTAGTGCAGCAATAAAGTTGCACCTGAGCAAGATCAAAAATCACCTAACTCCATGAGAAGGTACCTTTTTTTTTTTTTTTTTAAATTAAACTAATTTAAAAGCCAGCTATGGCTATCTGTTTCCAAAAGTATACAGTAGCTTGAGTCTCCATGATTATTGTAAAAGGTTATCCATGGAACAATTATAAAAAGCACATAAGCCAACAGTGATACTTCAAAATTCTATGGCCTGCTACAACTTCACAGCCTTAACTACAGTTTTAGTTAAATTGAAACATTTACTTCCTATTATTTTTACTGAAGTACACTATCACCCCAAAAATGGCCTTTATTACTCTTGCAAAGTAAAATATGCAATCACCAGATTCTATTAATTTTGCGTGCAGTCAAACTGAAGTTTTAGTTAAGCCTAAATTAAAGAGCTGCAACTCTTACATTATTATTTCCCTGATAGATCTTAAGATGATGAAAAGTAACATTATATATGAAACATGTATTTACCAATGACTTCTTTAAAATCCCCACAAATGTAAAAGACTGGTGTTCACGAGAACTGCCAATTTATTTTGATTAAAAATTCAACACAGATACAGATTAAAATTAAGTAAGAGCAGTCTTCCACGTAGTGAAGGAACTAAATCCTCTCTTTGCTGCATTCACTTCAGTTTGCTTGTATTGAAAAACGTAGGTTTTAACACCAAAACAACAACAGAGAAGACATATTTGCTACTACACACCACAGCAACTTTGAAAAAAAAGAATTACTGTAAAGAGATATAGTGAGAGATAAAAATAAAAACTATGTGATACTTTGTTGCTGGACGTACCCCAGTAAGAGCATTACTTCCTGCAGTTTGAAGGAAGGTGTGCCTGCACAGGCACTTTCCACCGTGACTAGCATGTGTGGGGTACAATAAGCCAAAGAACTGCAGCCTTCCCTTCACCATGGGATTACGGCTACCGACAGAGGCACCAAAGCAAGCCCTCAGGGTTGCTTTATTATTTTCAGTTGGGGGACTATATGCAAAAGTGTTCTGTTCTTCCAAGTGGTTGGCTATTCATGCCACAAGCGCAAGAGATGAAAGCATACAACGATGTTTTATGATCCCTGCTAAAAATTGTCAAACAAAATGAAAAACAAGGACAGCTGCTTCAAAGAAAAGAGAAAGAAACCTTGTGTTCTGGTTTTACACCAGCAGGGAGCAGTGGTTAACAAAAACAGTAAGATGCCTGTCCCTTCCCAACAGATTTACTGTTTACAGTAAATACAGGATTCTCAAAATGGTTACAACACCACCTGTAAAGACAGAGTTTGGTATGGTTTTTTTACATGCATCTACCAAAGAGGTGTGAGCACTAGATTAAGGATTCCTGGCACTGTGTTAAAGGCTGACTCTGGCTATATCACTTCTGCTGTGAAATCTATCCATCAGTGCAAGCGAGAGGTTCCCGAAGTTCATAATTGAGCTGATTTATAAGCATGAATACAGAGGAGGCAAATTCATTCAAAATGTTCAATCTCTTGTTCAACAAAAAGGGTAAAAATATTCTTAATCATTTTAACACAACAGAATTTCATTAATTCTTAGAGGCTGGGGAAGACCAACTGCATATTTGGGGGTCAGGGGAGAAAAGGGAAATCAACAACTAGCAAAGCAAATTAAATGAGCATAATATATTACAGAAATGCCTATTATTCACTTACTTTAGACTATAATTTTGCATCATGCTTAAGAATCCATACATGTGATATGATATACTATTAAACTAATAATGATCTTGTTTATATGAGAATTCACTAAAACTCCTATCTAGGTTTGGCACTAAGGCTCCAACAAGACTGCCAAATTTTTTGTGCAGATAAAAGCACTTAGTTAAATGACCTTCTACTGTGTATAACAGCTCACATACAGGAAAAAGGATCACTCACCACATTGTAATAGCTTTTGTTAATTGCAGACGTATCAAAGCCTTTAGGGGGACTCTTCAATGTACCTGATTTGGGGGAGACCGGTTTTTCTGAAATGTAAGACATTTTTCTGTCAATGGGGTGCAATTTCATAGCTCAACACTAGAGGTCAAACAAACTGCTTTAAAATATTTATCGTAAAATACAGTGAAAATAGTGCTTCACCGAGAAACGTACATATTTGTGCTTGAAATCACTGGTAAAGAATCAAAATGGTTCATATGTTCACAACGAATGAAACCCTAGCCTCCATGAATGCAAGTAGAAAGACTCCTATTCTTTTTCCTGGAACCAGAAAATCAGTTAATAAAAACAGCTTTTCCAAAATTATTTTTTAAAAACAAACTGTTATCACAGGCTGCAATTAATCACAAAAAAAGCCACACACAAACAGAGGCATTTCCAAACACAACATGCACTTTCAAACAGAAGCCGTATTAAGTTTTATCAATTTCATGATCTCAGTAAATGCAAGTGACTAAAGGCTGAACATACCAAAGGTGGGACATTACACTCAGTCTCATTGAAATAGAGAATCAAAACACTATACAAGTAGCGAGGTGACGTACCACATGCCTATCCTAGAAAATTATATTTTAAAACATATTATCTTCTATTGATAATGAAGTAAAAAATAAAAACACTCATGCACTTGAGAACAGTCCATTGTAACAATAAATGCAGCCCTTCCTATAATCCCATAGTGAATTTACCCCTCAGTAACACATGCTCTTCTTGGAAGGACAACATAAGTCTGCAAGATCAAAGCAACAGTCCTGAGAATTACTGGAGTGCTGACTCCCAGAACAGGGAGGCACAGAAGACACACTCCTAAAGCTTCCCCCCTTGTACCTCTACCATTCCTCTAAATTACAGAGGAGCAAAGATGAGGGGAGAGGCAATCAAAAGCATTGTGCTGCACGCTGCAGAAACAGCAAGTAAGATTTACAGTATCTCTTTTTGACTTTTCACACTTGACTCTGCACACAGGGAACAGAGAGTGCTTCTGAGACTGTATTTATCGGGACTTTATTGTGGTTTGGTTTGTTTTTTTAAATAACCAGGCTTGTCTAATACGCAAACTTCAAATAAGCATTTGAGTAGTTTGTATTCAAACAGTAAAACGGCATTCAAAAAGAAAAGCATCATTAAAACATACCTACTGAAAGTGTTACCTTTATTTTAAAAGCAAGGTCCTGTTTCAAATGCATTTTAATAAAGACATGAATAATTTAACTCTAGTTTACCTGATACCTCAGGCCACTAAGAATAAATTATGCAAGTTTAAAGCACAGACCTGCCTTTCCAGGAGAAGCCCAGCCAGCCAAGCTAAAGGCCAGCTATGGGCAATAGCCATTGACAGTAAAGCTGACCAGGAAAACGCCACCACAAGCAGAACAGCCCATGTGGCACCAGCCTCTGCTGCACTGTATTCCGGGTAATTCAGTGCTTCTTCAGGCTGCCCAGTGGCAGCCTCATGCATGTTGCAATCTCGGGTGAGCTGACTACCGGTGCAGGTCACCCTTCCATCCAGCAGACCGGCTGGATCCGAGGCTTTAGCCAGCAGCGCTCACAGAGCAGCTCAGGCCCCAAGAGAACGTGCGTGGCATTATCTTCTAGGGGATTTTCTCTGTATTGCACCGGAACTCTCCTCAAAGAAGCTATTCTAAAAATAAAATATGGTCTTAAAATTGCCAAACATGGCAGTTTTTAGTAGAGACAACAGTGACAGGACGAGGGGTAATGGTTTTAAACTAAAACAGGGTAGGTTTAGGCTAGATATAAGGAAGAAATTCTTTACAATGAGGGCTGTGAAACACTGGAACGGGTTGCCCAGAGAGGCAGTGGAGGCCCCATCCCTGGAAACATTCAAGACCAGGTCGGACAGGGCTCTGAGCAACCTGATCTACTTAGCGGTGTCCCTGCTCGCTGCGGGGGAGCTGGACTAGATGACCTCTAGGGGTCCCTTCCAACCCAAAACTTTCTATGATTCTATGGGCAAAACATTTCTCCTTACCATGTTCAGTAAGTAAAATACTTCTGGTTAATATCCCCCGCTCACCCCTCCCAAGTCAGCTATAAGCCAACATACAGCACAAACCCCTTAGCCCCAGCAGATGTTCAGCTGGGAACACTGGATGCTCTCAGCCACCAGCCCTGCAGTACCTACGTGCCCTGCTATACAGCCAAGTAATTCCAAAGGACAGGACTCCTCCCATCCCCTTAGAACAAAAGCATAAACCCAAGCAGATTTGTGATCAAACACTCAATGGGAAAGAAGCACCTAAAGTCATGTTGTCTGTACAGCTATTCATTTATGTATTTTATATATAACATTACTCATTTATGGGACAATTACAACCTGTATCTCTGTACTGAGTGATGAAAATGATGTAGTTTTCCACAAATTTGGTAATCTGCTTTCATTCTATGTAGAAGCTGTTGACTTATCTTAAGATTTATAGTGATTTTCAGGTTCACTAAATACCTAAAGGTTTATTAATCATGTGTCAAAAAGCATGAAAGGAGAAACCAGAGTTATTTAAGGAAAAACGTAAATACCTGTCACTGAACTTTATCATAATACATACGTCTGATCCTTGTTAATCTGGAGAAAGTTGGCGGGTGATAGGAATCTGGCTCTTCCTTCCAGCTACTCTGTTATCTTAAAGGGTGTAAAAAAAAAACATCTCTTCCCCTAACTTTTCCTTCTCCTAACTGCTGAAGAAAGTGGGAAATTCTTTTGCTGAAATATATAGTCATTTATACTACCAGCTGTTCAGCCGATTCAGTTATCCATCAGAGAGACAGGATCAAATTCAGACTTCAAAACAGGACACAAAAAAAGAATCACACAGTCAAATCATTTTGCCTGAATAGCCATAATCAACATTCAGCTTTTAAAATGCAAAGGCCATTTCTACTGTAGAAACACAGAATTAGACACAGCAAATCAGTCCAGCTGTCTGTCACGTCTGGTATTCTGCCTCCAAGCACTGCCTTGCTTCATAGGGAGGAATAAGAAACAGTCTTGTTGCAATTAGCTCATTGCATAATGCATTACACAGAAGAAAATCCTGATCTCACACACAAGAAATCAGTTTCTTAGCATAAACAAAGATAAGTGTTATTTATTATCCTTCACGAGAGAACATTAGAGTGCTTTTGCAAATGTATGGCATAATTCATTAAACATTTCAAGCAGGTGTCACCCTCATTCACCATACTGGGAAAGGTATTATAGGTCTATACATCTATGAAGTCCATAGGTTTCTGAAACATTAGCAAAGCCCTAGCACCTTGCTGACTCCAACACATAAGCTCTGTTTCTCAAAGCACTGGAAGAGAGATGCCTGAGTGAGACACCATGTGGAAGATTCTTTCCTTCTCCCTGTCCCAATGTAAGTCAGTGACGCTAGCACTGAAAACACAACAAACACATGTGCAGCATGTTCCAGAGCAAACAAGCATCTGCTCAAGTACTGGAAGAGACCATAACCAGCTGATGACTGAAACCAAGAGGTAAATTACCACTATTGGTTTCTTTCCTGATCAAACCATTACACTCGGTTCCACCCAGCTACACTCGATAGTGCTTCAAAGTGTCTGGTGGCTAGTGATTAACCAGATCGAATTCACTTAACAGATCATCTTTGGGTGGAGAGAAGTTGGCACAGGCTTTTTAACATTATTATTCCAACAAATAACTATTCTCAGCAGAACCAAAACAACTTAAAGCAGCTGCTTCTGTAACCTTTCCCTGAGCACTACGTAAGATGCCACAAACTGTCTAAAATGAAGTCGTTATCTTACCCTTTACAAACACCTACCTAACAATGCTTTGTTTCCTTCCATTTTCATTAATACGCAAGTATTTCTTTTACTTGCCTTCGAATTACCTGTCCTTCTCGCATTCCCTCCCATCTCTCTTCTGTCATGTCTCCAGTTTATGTTGTATTTGTTTTCATGCAACAGCCTACTTCACGCTACTCCACAGAGCACTCCTTCAGAACATACTTTACTAAAGCATTTCAACTGTACTGCTGCAAGATCACCACCACATGTTTCTATCACTAGGCTCTGGTGTGTGTAATCTAGATGCAAAGATCTGATCCACGCTATTTCATCCCATGGCACGGAAGGAAAGATGTTCCAGCTGGGACACCAAAAGCGATGCAGTCCCTATGAGCGCAGTGCCACAAGCAAGCTCGTGTCTCTCAGGACTAACTGGTTCACTTCCAGCACCAGGAAGGTAGACCTAAACTTGCTCCTGGTTCTCAAGCAGGTTCAGGCATTGCTGCAACAGGCTCCACTCTGCAGCGTCAATACTACCAACACTTCTTCCCTACTAGTACTCACTTGTCCCAAACGCTACTCTATTTATGCCTGTAGAGTAACACTTGACAAGAGGACAAAATACCCCTCCAAGTGCACACGGTTTGGGAGAGGAAAACTAGCATTCTTCGTGGGTGGTTCTTCTCTCCCCTTCTCTCTCTCTCTCTCTTCTTTTTTTCCAAAGCTAAAAGTGCATTTGTCCTTCCCTCATGTACCACAGGATGGGAACAGGAGATACTTTATTCTTCCACTATACTTTGGCATTTTCCCACACTGTGATTTTTTTATTATTATTATTTTTAACATCTAACCAGAAGTAGTACTAACACTGTAATTTGCACTGGGCCTGATATTAACATCACTGTCAAGAAAGCATAACAGAAGAGAGGCTAAAGACACATTAATTTCTGTGAAGAAGTAGAATAATGTTTGTGACACATCAAATATGATTTTTCAAAGCTATCTTCCCTTCTGCATGACCTCATATCATTTAAATTGATCACACTTTGATAGTACCCAGCAAGTGACCATGTGATTTTTTAAAAATCTGGCTAACATCTGACAGTAGCTAAGCAAGTACGTCCCATTCTGGCTAACCCCTCTCCTCTTCATCACAAGGCAACTCTCAAAACTAAGCCTCCAAATCTCTCTGTGCGAGACAGAAGCAACAGTGTCAGAGACAAGACTTCTCCTACACCTTCACCCCTCCCTGCTCCATTTTATATAATAAAAACAACTCAATAAGGCCACACTGTCAAATATCTAAAAAGTTTACACGGTATAAATCTTTTACCCTCTGTCATGTGTAACAGTACAGCAGGATGAAAACAAAGTTCTCTCATTTCAAAGCACTTCCTGACTAGTGATCAAAGAACAGCAAAAACAAGGCAAGATATTACAAAGTTTAAAAAAGGAAATGAAAACATGCGAACAGGGAGGGAGGAACAAAGAAATGTACCATCTTTTTGATCCTTATAGTGTAGGTATATACCTGGAAAGAAAGTACTACTACATTTTTTTTCTTCTATTTATAAGTGTGATTATAAGTACCACAACCTCAAACAAATCCTCCTTTTCCTCTTGGGTCGGGGGGGTGGGGGAGGAAAGAATAACACACACTCAAAAGCAAAACTGAAAACATTTTCCAATCACAATCAAATTTACTTCGTCAAAGTTTACAGAGTCATTGTCTACCCTAAGGAAACTAAATGCTGTGCTTTGCTCAATAATTTCAGCATCTTTCCTACAACCATTCATAGCTCACCCCACACACATATGAGCATTCTGTGCAAACACTAATCATTCCGGCACAGCCAACCAATCAAGTTACAACCCAGTAAACACGGGCAGAGTTTTGCGATGTTTCAGCTACTCTGAGATCCCTTATCATGTAACGTGCTCTGCTTGTGCAGCATATGTAGTGCAGTTTGCTTTTCTTCTAGGAACTTTAAGAAAGCAATGTGGATAAAGGCAGTTCCCACTACGAAGCAGCACACCAAGTTTGAGCATTCACTTCATTTGTGGCAACTCTTTCGGACCTGCTGGAGAGCAGCTCTGCGGAGAGGGACCTGGGTGTCCTGGTGGAGGACAGGTTAACCATGAGCCAGCAGTGTGCCCTGGCTGCCAAGAAAGCCAATGGGCTCCTGGGGTGCATTAAGAAGAGTGTGGCCAGCAGGACAAGGGAGGTTCTCCTTCCCCTCTACACTGCCCTGGTGAGGCCCCATCTGGAGTGCTGTGTCCAGTGCTGGGCTCCCCAGTTCAAGAAAGATGAGGAGCTACTGGAGAGAGTCCAGCGGAGGGCTACAAGGATGGTGAGGGGACTGGAGCATCTCCCCTACGAGGAGAGGTTGAGGGAACTGGGCTTGTTCAGCCTGAAGAAGAGAAGGCTGCGAGGGGACCTTATAAATGCCTACAAATATCTGAAGGGTGGGTGTCAGGAGGATGAGGCCAAGCTCTTTTCAGTGGTGCCCAGTGACAGGACAAGGGGCAATGGGCACAAACTGAAGGGGGGTTGGACTAGCTGACCCACAGAGGTCCCTTCCAACCCCTACCATTCTGTGATTCTGTGATTCTGTGATTCATACAGCCAGTATTTGCAATCGCCTCTCAGGAAAGACAACTACTGCTATATCATAATCTCCGATTACCCCATATTTTTCAGCTTTGCCTTCTAGCTCTTTCTTTCTTTCCTTGGATATCTAACTTCAGAGCAACAATACAAGCTAAGATTAAAAACATACAGTTATATGACATCAGAGGATATTTTAATTTAGAACAAAAATCCATTTATCTAAACATCTAATGCCTATGAATTTTGTGAGAATTAAAACAAACACACACATCCATAAAGAACTTCTTTCCTTTATTCTGTTATCCCAAAGTCAGGTTCCAGCAGACTGAAGAGATTTATTTAATCAAACCCATTGGTTCCCAGGAGCTCTCCAAACACCACATCAAAAATGATAACACACAACGTTGCCTGTACAGAATTTCTAACTAGTTGCAGTATTTTCAGACATATTTGAGAAGAAATGGTAGAGTCATGGCAGAATATTTTACAGAGTATTTTGAAAACAAATTGATCAAGAGCGAGTATTTCAATAATCCTACCCTGATCTTTTTAAAACCAATTCATTATAATGCTGACAGAGAACACACTCTGAATTTGAGCTTGCAAGACAGCAAGTTTTACTAACTCATCTTAGCATACATCAGGAAAAAAAAAGCACTTGTGTCTTAACCTCCTGTTCAAAGCACGAAGGCACATAAAAGCTTTCTGAACTATGAAAATCTTCAACTGACATATATATAGTTGCCAGCAAGTCAAGAAAAATGGACAGTAAAAGACTATCAAGAAGTGTCAGCCAGTCTAATGGAGACCAGCAGAAAAGAGCAGAGGTGAGTGGGGGTGCAACAGAGACTGTCACCCTGTACATATAACCTAGATGAAACTTCTCATGAACACCTACCAGAGCCAACCATCTAACTTCACAGCTTTGTGGTGAACAGCACTACATTCCCGTTTCAACGAGGAGAGCGGAAAGTGGAACAAAGAAATCCAATCTCAGGATGCAGTGGCAACGTGTTTTGATACAGAGGGGACGAGAATTACACAGAAGCCCTCTCTCCAGCACCTTCAACAATACCCACAAAGCAGAAATCAGTTCAGAATAGAAATGTTCGTAACAAATTTCATGGAAACAACCAAGAAAAGCAGCAAAATGAGAACAATGAACTTCAAGTAATAAGAATTCAGTAAGTTTCAAAATAGGGGTAAAAAAAGGATTCCCACTAGTGATAACGTAAGGGGAAAAGGCTCACAACAATGACAACTTCTTTTAAAATTAGAAGCATCTTAAAGGAAGAACAAGAAAAGTAGATGAAAATTGACATGATCAAGTATCACACATACTACAGTGACCTCAAATACACAAAAAGAAGCAAAACTAACTACAAAAAGTCAGGTCACCAGTTGAAATACAACATGCATTTAACAGTAGTAGTAACAAAACGTTCCATAGCATACATTCATCAAGGGGGAGAGCTGATCTGCAACTCCATAAGGAAAGAGAGTTGCTAACAGATATCAGGAAGCTCTTAATATCTCTTCTACCATCCGCCCATCCTCATTATAAAAAAAGTCAACTTCAGACAATTCAAACACATACCTCCAAAGGTATAAAAGCAAGTTAAAACTAGTGTTTTGACAAATTAAACAGTACCTGCTGTGCTGATTTGGCAGTAAGAGAATTAGCTACATCCACGTTTGAAACCATAGAGCACAAGTGAAGCTCCATACAGTACTGGAAAAGGCCAAGCACAGTAACTATCTTTAAAAAGAAGAAAAGCTAGAGTGCTACAGACCAGTTGTCTTAACTTTCTGTCAGTAAAGACACAGAAAACACAGCAATGAACTCAACTTGCTGAGAAAGAAAAAAGCACAGGCACATATTTCCTTCCACAGGAGCAACTGAGCACATGAGAGAGTGCTCCAAGAATCCAAGTATTCTTGCAGAAGCCAGAAGGAGCAAGTAAGTCCTTGTAGCACAAGGAACATACCTACACAGTGGAGGGAAAAGAGGAGCTTAGCACAAAACTTTTCTAATTGTGAGAAGTGAAAGTTAAACCAGGGACTGTAAGCAGTTCATCTCAGGCCCGGGAACAGGACCAGGTTGCAAGGACTGGCAGGCATCAAACTGCACTTGGTACTAAACCTTGGCCCCACAGCTTGTTGGCGTTTGTGTTTAGGAGAGTTACTTCACCCAAGTGAAGTATTCTTTAAAAAAAAACAAGAACCACCTCAATTTCAGTGGCTGGCAACTTTTGGTTATCGCATGTTCATCGCTGAAAGCTACTTCCACTGTGGAGCCCAACTGCTGACCCAGCTTCCAGTCTCAGGAGTCGGCAGAGATCAAAACTGATGAAAACCAAAGACGATCTCTGCGGCAATGTTTTAAATGAATAACGATGGGACAAGATAGTCATCATGGCTGAAAGATTGCTACAACACTACAAACAAGATAAAACAGGCTTCAGCAACTGTTCTTCAGGATAAGTCACATCTGAGAGATCTCTGCAGAGTATTAAAGCTAAGTCTTACACCGTGACTATGCCTAAGAGGATGTAGTTGAAAATGACAATGAAGTTACAGATCCAAGACTCCACTATTCTGCAAAAACAGACTGTAGGTAGCAAATCAAGGGGGAAAATACGAGGATGCAACTGGAGGAGAAAGAATAACTTTAAAAATGGGAGTTTTACCCCCACAACTTCAGTTTGCAATCAGGCAAAACGTATGGATTAAGTATCGCTGCCTAAAAACAGAAGTCATGCCAATGATTTTAACATAGCCCAAAAGATGTGCGTTTTGGTTGGAGCTGCGACAAGGGAAAGGGTCGTAAAGCCTCTCAGAGTCACTGGGTAGTTTTATCTCATCCGGTTTATCCCCAGTCTCTAAGAGCTAGCAGAGACAGCAAAGACACCAACACCAACAAAAAAAGACTGTCATCCACGTGACATCTGAAACTTTAGTGTAAGAGTGAAGCCGCTGTAAAGAAAAAGTGGAAGGCACAAGAACAAAAAAGAAAAATCACAAATACATTACTTTTTGAAAACTGTCTCTAACTTTCAGCAGATTTCGGTAGAATTGGGGATTTTTCCTGCATTTGTTTCCTTTTAAGTAATGGGACTTTTTTTAATTTGGTGTAGTTTTTCGGTGGGTTTGGGGGGTTTGTTTGGTTTTTTTCAGAGACAATTGCAGGAAATCCCTCACTATTCAAACCCAAAGCACAAATTCAAAGTATGTCAGCATCAGAGCCAAAATCCAGCATTTTAGGAACTCACACCGAGGAAGTCAGAGCAGCCCAACTGTGACAGAGACAGACAAGTAAAGAGAATGGGGGAGTTTTCCACATGTTTAGTGCTAATTCAAAAAGTCCTAGAGTACTTTATATAGAAAATCGAGGTGGGGGAGTACAAGTTCCTGAGCATTGATTGCTGTGAACGAAATTCAGTAAATACAGCCAAGCTTCAACAAAAAGCATTACAATTTTTAATGAATCAACCAACTATCAACCTCTACGCAAAGCAGTAATTTGTGCAAACACGTTCTCCTTCAACACTCACCATTTGACTTTATTTCTCGTACGTAATTACTTGGAAACCACCCTGTTTTGCCATTTAGAGTTCCTTCCCACCAGCCTCCTTCTTCCACTCTCGTAACATGAATAATATCTCCTTTTGAAAAAGAAAGTTCATCTTCATTTGTCTGTTGAAAATTAAATTTTGCTCTCACCACCAACTGATGGTTGCTGTTATCTGTCATGTCCTAGTAAGTGAGAACACAAAGAACAGAAAGATCACGTTAGATTTAAACAATTATTCCATGAGCAAAACAGAAGTATCCATAAAATGGAAATAACCTCTCCCCCACACATGTTTTTTACTCTAAGCATTTGTAAGGGATGATTTGCTATTTCCACTATTTCTGTAATTTTTAATTTTTAATCTATGGATCTGTATCAGTCCAGGAAGTATATTGTCTTCGTAGAGCCCCTTCAAATCAGAAAGGTGTAACAGATCTAAAATAAGAATTAATTCTTACTGCTCCAGAAAAACAAAATTCTATTTCCTATATATAGTATAAATTAAAACCGCCTTTGGCAACTACAAAGAAACAACAGTTTTTCATTAGAGCATTCTCTTCTAAAACTTTCCAGGCTGGGAGCAGGGCTCCCCCCCCAGTAACAGATCAGGTTGGAAAGTTCCACACATGAACATGCAACTCTGTGTGGCCTGCCAGTGGAGAAGGACAGTGTTCTTCAACAAAACTTATGAAACAGTTATGCAATTTACCTTGAATGAGTACTCACAAATAATTTGCCTCAAGGTTAGCAAAGCTGCAAGTCTGCAGCACGTCAAACTCGCAGCTGCCCATATACATAGATAGCTAGAGAGAGACATATACGCTCATCCCCTATGACAGATGTGAGGGCAGAGTATTGCTCTATCGTAACAACTAAATGTTAATAGCGACTTTTTACAAGTCTTTCAAATCAATGACGTCAGATTCGGCATTTTGTTCTTGGATTTTGAGTATCTGCATCGTTCAAGCACTTCATGAGAGTTAGGACAAACTCTTATGCTACAAAAAGCTAAATATTTGGACAGCTTTAAATAATCCAAACACAATCCACTGCACTGGAATTGAGAGAATGGAACTATAAATCACATCTGTCTATCATGAGCAAGGATCAACACCTGTATAATTAGAAAAGGAACTTAGTGAGAAAATGACTGTGCAAGCAATCCTAGTCGGCTATCCAGGCAGCAGAATTTCACCTACATGTTGTCTATATAGTTGCGATGATTAAAAAAAAATAAGTACTGCATAATGTCACCGGGATCATATAACGTGTCAGCTGAATTTATATCTACTGTAAGCACATTACTGTATCACAACTCAATTTAATTGTTGAACTTTCTCAGTGGCTGAGAAACTGTAGGAAAATGATAGCAAACAACTTCAAAACCAGGCAGAATGTTCCAAGATACTGTAAGTCACCACGTTCAACAATTAGATCAGCACATTTTCAAATAAATGCCCCTGCCTTAGTCCTCTGCTTGTACATCGGGTGCTTTCATCTGCTATGACTGCTCAACAAGAGAAAAAGTTTGCTTTAGTAAACAGCAAAAAGCCACAAAATAAGCAGCAACATTGCACAGTGACAGCAACTACAGCCCCTTCACTATGCCAGGATGGCTCTCCACTAGAGGAAACCAAGTACAAATTTGGCGAGAACAGTTCCCAGCTGATCATCTACAGCAGCAAAACCAAACTAAGCATTTCCCAGGTCTGGCCACTAGCTCTCCTTCCCTTTTTTTTTTTGCACTTCTCTGCCCCTTTGCAACTTTCTGCAGAGCTGCTTAGAACACCAAAGTGACAGAAATACCTAAATACTTCAGTGACCCAGCTAACAGCTAGCCCCACAAACAGCTGCATCAGCAAAACTGAGTGGGTGGTGAACAGCAGAGTGGGAGCTGGAATTAGGTGCCTGGGGCAAAAACTTGCACTGGCTCTGCTACCAGAGAAAACACATCAAACCACACCTAAGAAAGCTTGAGCAGAGCACTGTGTTTAAAGTCTCACATAGTTATCACAGAATTCAAAACAGCCTCCTTCAAGATGGAAAAAGCAGTTTACAGTAGAGATCTGAACCCTCCTTGTAAACCTTTTAGTCACTGAAAGTACTTTTCATTACAATTAAGTTTCAATACAGTACTCCATCCGGATTTCGGCTGCACAGTAAAACAACTGCCCACACCATTTAGTTACCTGAAGGCTAGTTGAAGGATTCACCTTGAAACATAATAGAAAACACGAATAACTAGCCATATTGCCAACATTAAAAGTGCTATCTTTGCTGAGGTTTGAATATGCTTCAATCATGATCTCTAAAACTCACAGACATGGAGAAAATGAGATTTTTGCCTTTGAAAAAAGCACGTCCTTATAAGAAATAAATCCAGGAAAATACTGAGTACGCAGACAACATGGAGTCGTAAGTGAGGAAAAAATATTTAGAAGTTCACAGAAAGCTGCATGTGTATTGGAACATCGTAAGCAAAGCTGCAAAAATACAACATCACAAGTTTGAAATATAAAGGTGAAAGAGAGGAAACAGCTACTTTGTTACACCATTGTTTACTTATAAATCTTGTCAAAAAAAAAATAAAATAAAAAAAAAAAAAAAATCACACAGCAGCATGTTTCTTTTCTTCTAGAACTTACCAAACTCCGATACTGTCCCTGGAAGAGTTTTGAAGTTCTACTGTGTAAAGACTGGGATCCCAGAGAATCAAAAGACTTTATCCGATGAGACGAGGGACGTGCGCATACAGAGTCACTGCCCAGCCCTATGTCTGTAGGAGGGAAAAAAAAAACACACATAAATATTAGAATGAGAAAGATGCATATAACTTCTCCTTACTTCTGTAAAACTCACACGCTTAAAGCAGATTCAGTGTATCTGTAGCCGCTCAATAATTTAAGATGAAAAAAAAATATAGTAATAAGTGATCTGAAATCCTGAGAACCTGGCAGTTTCTTCCCCACACAGACAGGAAAACAATTTGAACCGTTTAGGAAGAGGAGAGTTAGGGTTGTAGTTCTCCATCCCTACTCACCACCAGTCTATTTAAAGGTAATTAACCAGCATCATTTTAGCGAGTGGCCAAGAATTTCGAACGCATAAAACTTGCTTGAAGTAAAGCCAGCCACATCTGTTTCTTAGCTCTTCCCCACCACCATCTCCTCCTCGATTAAAACATTCCTTCCACTGTCTTTTTCCTATGTTCCTTTGTCTCATCCCTTTTTTCGCCAACTAAGCTCACTCTTCTTCTTTGGAGGGAGGGGGAGGAAGAGGAGGAGTAGAAAGGAAACCAGCTGCTTGCTGGAAAAAACAACGCCTCCCCCAACCTCTCGTTCACTTGTCTCTATCCCATGAAGCAGACCCGTTTGAGGTGTTCATCCCAAGGACAGCCTTACACGCTGCCCGGGTGCCGCTGGGGTCCCCATGGGCTGGGCAGGGCTCGTTCCAGCACCCGGCCAGGAGCGGGGCAGCGGGGGCACCGGGGCAGCCCCAGCCCCAGACATGGGGCACCAACCCAAGGACAGGACAGCGGCCCGACAGCAGCGAGGGTCCTCCTGGGGCTGGGGGCGGGGGCGGGGGGCGAC